GTTTTTTCTTCATCTGCCGGGTCCATAGGGATCTGATTATAACCTAAATAAGCGTCCAGAAAGGTTAAACGCTCATACCTGGTGGTGGCATCCACCATTTGATCAATCTTAGGCAGCGGGAAGCTATCCTTTGGACAGGCTTTGTTCAAATTGGTGAAATCAATGCATACTCGCCATTTCCCATTCTTCTTCTGCACGACAACAACGTTGGACAACCAATCAGGATAGTGCACTTCTCTGATGAATCCCGCATCGAGCAGCCTATCAACCTCCTCGGCTATGATCTGGTTACGTTCTGGAGCAAATCTTCGTTGCTTCTGCTTTACTGGTTTGAAATTGGGATTGACATTCAAGGAATGACAGGATACGGAGGGATTAATTCCAGGCATGTCTAGGTGACTCCATGCAAATACATCAGCATTGTGAGACAAGAAGTCATTTAGCTCCTGCTGCTCTTCCCTGGTCAGTCTTACTCCTACTCTGGTAGTTTGCTCTGGCTTGGACTGATCGATCTGCACATCCAGAAGGGGCTCTTCGGTCAAGTCAACTGACTCCTCCACCCTATTCTGCTTGGGCGGAGGTTCCTGTAATTGCTATCTGGGGCTTGCCGAACGGACGGGCGCCTTCCCTTTCCTAGCATATTTTAGTGTGACGGAATAACACTCTTTGGCTGCAACCTGATCCCCACGAATGTCTATCACCTTACTTCCATCGGGTCCGAGGCACCTCATGACCTGATGTAGAGTTGAGGGCACACCTTGGACTCTGTGAATCCATCCTTTTCCTATCAGGAGATTGTACGAGGGGTGAATCTCCACAACCACAAAAGTTTCCATAAGAGCTCGTTCTGCAGCTTGAACTTCTACTTCCACCATTCCGATGGGCTCCACCCTCTTACCATCAAATCCTAACAGGGGATTTCCAGTGGGCTTGAGCCTCTCTGGTTTAATCTCGAGCCGATCAAATGTGTCCCTCGGCATGACATTCGCACTACTTCCGGGATCGATCAGAACTCTGCGCACCAGGCAGTCCGCCACTGTCAAGCTGACTACCAACGGGTCTTCATGGGGGATTTGAACACGCTGCAGGTCTGTCCTATCGAACTTTATCTGTATCGATGCGATCTGTTGGTGCAGAGTATTCACACTGCTGACCCTTTTCTTCATCTGCGCCTGCCGTAGGCGCGTTCGGAGTAGCTCATCTGAGTCTTCGCTAGGCTCGGGTCGACCGTGGATAGCATTGATTATACGAACTGGCTGTGAATTGTGGGAGCTTTGTTTCTGACTCCTTTTTACTTGCTCCATCGGTCGATTCTGCTCTATCGCCGAGCCTTGAACATAACTCGCAAACTCCCCTCTAGCAATCAACATCTCCACTTGCCTTCTCAAATTCCTGCATTCGTTAGTCTGATGGCCGAAATCAGAGTGGAAAGCACAATGTTTAGTCTGATCCCTCTGTTCGAGGGGTTGCCTAATTGGCAGTGGTGGATGAAACTTATCTTTGTTCTCCTGATATAGCCTCGCCAGAGTGACCTTCAACGGAGTGATCAGCTCTTCCTCCCTGGACCTATTTTCTGCCTTCTAGGAGGTCTGACGTTGCGGCTGAGCCTGCTTCTGCCTGATCTTTGCCTTGGACTTTTCCTCGGTCGACACGACCGACGCTGTCCGAGCATTGGCTGCCTCCTCTTCTTCTAGGCGCACAAAGCCATCGGCTCTTTCATTGAGTTCATCCATAGTCGTCAACGTGTTCACTACCAGACTGGTATGGAACGGAGTGCCACGTGTCATGGCCAACTTGAAGGCTTGAACCGCTGTAGAAGGGTGGCATTCGATCACCATACTCTTAGTGAGATTAAACCTGGTGAGAAAAGCCTGGAGACGTTCATCTTTGTGCTGTTTCATTGTGAATAGGCTCGAGATGTCCTTCGGCGGACGCTTGTTCCCATAGTACTGGCTTATGAACCGATCGCACAGGTTTCGGAAGCTATCAATGGAGCTCCTAGGCAAGTTCTTGAACCAACTAAGCGCCGGTCCGGCTAGACTTGTAGGGAAACATTTGCACATTAAAGAGTCGTTCTCCGTATTCAGGGCCATCTTCAACTGGATATGGTACACATGATCGATCGGATCGGTTGTTCCGTCAAACAGAATAAAGACTGGCATAGCAAACTTCCTTGGATGCGGAGCATTCAGGATCTCATCAGTGAATGGTGAATCAACCGTCCGAGCCGCGGATCGGAGTGCTTCATTCTCTCTCTGGAGCCCAGCGGTAGCTCTATGAGCTACAGATCTGCTCTCCGAACCGCGATGAGTGATTGTAGCTATGGAGGGCCGGTAAGACGGATCGAACGACCGTTCCTCAATGAGCTCTCTTTGCCAAGGCGATACAGCTCGGCGGCGATCAACCTCTATCACTTCCTCTCGGTTGAACCTTTCCCGATGCGGATCGAAGGTCATGGCTTCGTTCTGTCTGATCTGCTCATGTCGCGGATCAACGTGAGTCGATCCTTCGTGATCCTCAACTCGACGAACATTTGGCGGCAAATCGTCCATCCTCCTTTCATCACGGTGGAGAGCTGACTGATTGTTCTCGTCCTGCTCGCCTTGATGTGCGATATTAGATTGCATACCTCCTTCACTGGCCGGAAGTGGACGCGGAACCGCGGGTATTTGCTGATGCTGCATTCCAGCTTTCAATTCTGCATTCTCTTTTTTGAGAGCTTCGATCAAGCTCATCAATTCCTCAAGCTTCGTTTGCTGGACAGCCTCCATCGGATTGGAGCTTTCACCTATCATTATTCCTGAACGGAGTAAAGGCATTAATCTCAAGTTCGTGAGTAGATCTGAGCTTCGTGAGCGCGAATTTTTCAGATCTGGTTTCGAATTCTCCGAATTATGCTTACGGTTGACGAGATCTGAATTGTCCAAATTCTAAATCCGTCAGATCCGGCCACAATCGAACAACTCGTTGTTGCGTAGATCTGAAGCCACTTCCGCCAAAGCAACAGGAACTAAAATTCCTCCAGAATAGGTCACAATTGCTCAGATCTGGATCCAACTCCCAAAGATCGAGTTTCGTCTTCACGAATTGGTTTGAATCCACGCGATATTGATCAATGATCAATTAATCTTCAACGATTCCTACAGACGGCGCCAATTGAAGATGCAAGAAATTCATTTTTATTTTCTCTCTCTCTAGAACTCTTACACTTCAACAGAATGCCCCAAATCCATCCATTACTTCTCATATTTATAGATACTTACAAACACTAATGGACTACTAGATCCGGGCCCATTCCTCTGTGGGTTTTGGTCATCTTTGATGGGCTATTCGCGTTCGGCCCATATGGCAGTATTTCTCTATGGGCTGGACCCATCTGCTCGGACCGGATGCCATGTTCGCGGGTCATATCCGGCCCATGTCACTTCTGGCCTCCTCAAAAGCACATGGACTCGACCATTTGGCTGAACCCATCACATGGCATTGGAACTACCTATTGAAAATCAAGTTCAAGTCCATGGGGTATTTGGATTGATGAGTATTAGAATCGCGTGAAGTATTGGTTATCTTGCAAAATGATTCTATGCTCAACAATAGGATAAAATAATTGAACCTAGGCTAAATGTCAAATCTACTATTATGACACTGCTATTATGATTCAACTCTTATTTAGTCATAGGGAACCAGACCACTTTAATTTGACTTAAAGTTGGTCAAAGGAGCAAAGACTTGCATGTGCAAATTGGCCAAAGCTTAAAAGATAAGATTTGAAGTACTATGCACTGGCCTTGAAGCGTCTAACATTCTGACCCTCACCTTGCTAAGCTTTATTGTCAATAGAAGAGCAGATGTGCTCATTTAATGAGCTGCAGACATCCAGATGTTCACAAACCGGACAAACAGGCAATTGAACTTCAATGTTTTCTTAATAAGTTAAAACATATTACCAAACAGTCTCTCAAAAGCCCTCCAACGGCTGTATTTCCTAAAGAGATTATAAAAGGAAGTTTTCCTCGCTCACTTGAGCTTATCAGCATTAGCTAAAAGTTTTAAGCTTTGTAGATCAAGAGCTTCATCCAGCTCTTTGAGAAATTAGAAAAGCTTTTCAAACTTCATTCAAATCTTTTGGAAAAAAAAAAAAAAAAAAACCTTTCTGTATAAAGAAATGAAAGCAAGACTTCGATCTTCATTGAATATTTGAAGTCTTTAGACATCACACTCAATAAGTTGAACTAGAATTCTTGCTTTATCCATTACTTTAGAAATTGTGTAAAAGAGAGCTGATTGTATATCTATCTTTTGAGAGAGAAATTTTAAGCTTGTATTTTATATCTGTCCATCAAGGGACACCTCAATTATTGCGCTTAGAGCACACTCTTTGAAGAAAAGAGATTGAAGGTTACAGCCTTCAGGAAGTCTGTGTGGGTGCTGCCCCGCAGCATGAAAAGGTTCTCTCTGATCCCATAAAATAGAGGGTTGATCCTGAGCCTATGTAAAAGGATCACTGTAAGGTTTCTCCTCCACCCGTAAAGAGAAACTCATTTAGTAAGAAACGGAATCCTCAAAAGGCGTTTCTAAGGCAAGGATGTAGGCAGGTTGCTGAACCTTGTAAAATCTATGTGTGTTGTGAGATTGTGTGTTTGCTCTTTCATTTCTCTTTTGAACTCTGTTTTTCCTCTATTCCATGTGTTTGTAGAAAACCCATTGAATATCTACATGAAAATGAATTTTTTGGCACTACTTGCCAGGATGGGGGTCGTGGGGGACACGTGTAGAACCTTGGGGGACGACGGAGTAACTTCGGCCAATCTTTACACGTGTGAGACTACCCCAAACCTCAGGGGAACAACAGTTAAATTTACCATTGAACTTAATTTTAGTAAAAAGTTCAATTCTTTTTCTACATTTAAAGGTTTGATTGACTTGTATTTAGTAAACCACTTCTCAACATCATATGCATAATTAAAGCTTCTAGGAGATGTAAACCAAGTAACATTTACCCAAGTCTACGTCAAGCTGGACTGAACTATTGCCACTCTTCGTGTCAGCTAATGTTGCAAGCGGAGGGAGCGGATTGCATTCCTCATCAAAGACAACTCTTTTTCCCCCTGGTTTGTGGATATTAATCTTCAGCTTTTTTTTCTTCGATACCTTAGTTGCCGGCCTACAAAACAATAGATGAAAAACCAACCCAAAATTATAATCAGCATTAAAATTGCAGCATGGTCAACAAACACATCAGAAGAATTTAATCCAAACAGCTAAAGCTTGAAAATGTTAGTCAACAACAGATTACAAACCAAGGCACAAAATCGCTTGCAATCTTCCAAACAGCAGATAATAAACGATAGAATGGATATTACATCCATTTGGTCCAGGTCTGCCCTCTCATATGAGATTAATATGAACAGCATAATTGCAACTATATATTAGGTTACATATTTGTCAAGAATAAATAACGCATAAATATTTTAACATGAGGGGGAAAAAGTAAAAGGTTACATACATAAAATCTCCGATCTCAGTTGTCTTTTCTTCCCCTCCATAAAGGGTCTCCTTTCCTTTAAGAAAAATATCATCCACTACGTCTTCCTCAAATTTGCCGATATCTGGCATTTCCTTTGGAAGTTTTAACAAATTCTCCTTGGGAGAAATTCCAGGTTGAAGAGAAGGTTCTACTGACACTGCTTTGCTCTTAATTTTCTGCTTCAAAAAACGGATTTTTGGGGTCATTGGCAGACCCAATGAAGCCGAGAATTCATCAATGGGCAGTTTCATTACATCAAAAACATCTTTATCTCGTTGTATATAAATAGACTTCAAATATGTGATGAAGGCCCTTTGAGCCAGTGGCTGCAAATTGTTATACTTGGCTAGTAAAGGTGCCAACAATCCGGAAATGGCTTGCAGCTTTTTTGTGTTTGCCTGAAACAAACAGCATAAGGCAGGGTTAGCATATGACAATACAAGGCAGCTAATTTGACCATCCCACTCAAAGTAGATATAAATGAGAATGGTTGTCAAGAACAAATAATCTACCTTCTTAGACTGTATGGGAATTTTTTTTTCTTGTAGTTTTTCAAGCATTTTAATTTCTGATGGCATCAGGAATAAAACCGAACTCCCACCACAAAGATAACGAGCAGTTCGACCAACTCTATGTATGTAAGCTGCAACATCTTCTGGACAATCCACCTAAAGGAAAAAGGCATTCATATCAAAGACAACAATCGTGTGAAATATTGCTTCTATGCAAAGCCATTAACTCACCTGAACAACATAGTCAACTGCCTTATTGAAATCAAGGCCCCTTGAGGCCACATCTGTTGAGAAGAGAACTGAACGTTTATCTTTCTCACAGAACTGGGAATATATTCCCATCCGTCTCTCCTGCTTCATCCTTCCATGAAGACATTTTAAGGGGATTCCTGGACGAAGTTTCTTGAATGCTTCAAAAACGAACTTTACCTATTAGATAGCAATAGCATAGCTCCCAAGTTAAACAAATATAAATGAATAAAGATTAAAAAAAAGTACGTCCCCAAAAAAAGACAAGATAAAACAAACAGAAAGATAAACAAATAGTATTGGAGGTCCAGCTGAATGAGAAGAAATTCATCATCGTTGTCATCATCCTTGCCTTAATCCCATATGAATGGGGTTGGCCACAAGAATTCTCTTCTTCCAATATGAGGTCAGCCACATGAATTCTCTTGTTTCAATTTTTCCTATTACAAGCCATTGCTTCTATAAGATTTAACATTTTTAAAGCATTTCTAATAATTTCATCTCACATTAATTTCGATGACCCACTCTGTCTCATACCTGCTATGCGAATTAGCCTCTTCCTCTTCTTAATGTTGCCTCTATGGGTTTTCTTTGTACTTGTCCATTCCACCTCTCTACTTTTCCTTATTTATCACTAATAGGTGTCACTAAAAATTTCTCCCTCACATTTTGATTAGTAACCCTATCTCTTATAGTAACTCTTATCATCCATCTTAACATTATCATTTCTGAATTTGTTGTTCCTATTTCTTCTTTTTCCTTTTTTGACTAGTGTTGTTCCTATTTCTTCTTTAAAGCCCAACACGCTGCACCATATAAAATAGTTGGCCTAATAACTGTTTTATAAAATTTCCCTTTTAATTTATTTGTTATCTTTTTATCGCATAAAATACCAGTAGATTGTCTCCATTTTGTCTAATCTGCTCCAATTCTATGAATTATATCACCACCTATCCCACCATCTTTTTGTATTATGATTGTAGATATCAAAGATGGTTACTTATGATAATCCTTTGGCTTTGAAGTGCGATCATTATATTATCAGTATCCGTTACTAATTTACATTCCGAAATTCAATTTTAGTCCCATTAGTTTTTAAACCTTTTATTTCTAATGCCTTTCTCCACATTGATAATTTTATTATAGCTAAATTTTCTTTACAATAATTCAATAACACTGTCATCGGCAAACACCATGCACCAAGGAATGTTTCCTTGTAAATCTTTTGTGATTTTGTCTTTAAAAAAAATGTAAGTAATATTTCATTAAGAAGCACTTGATGGGAGAGTGAACCCAAGAACAACTACACAAAAAACTATAACTATACATCTCTATAATCCCAGACTATCCATAAAATCAAGCAATCCCACAATAATTTTTTGTCTAAAATTATTGTGAATAATATGGACTTAATGCTAACCCTTGGTGCAATCCCACATTTACAGGAAAACCACTAGTCTCACGGCATGTAGTGCTAATTCTAGTTTTTGTATTCACATACATATCCTTGATCATCAGTATCATTTCAGTAGGAATTTGTTTTCTTTGTAAAGCCCACCAAACTATATCTCTCGGCAACCTATCATAAGCTTTTCTAAATCTATGAAAAACATATGTAAATTTTTTTCTTGACTCCTACAACTCTTTATCTAGTTGTCTTGCTAAATAAATAGCCTACAGTGGATCTTCCTAGCATAAATCCAAATTGGTTATGGAGTCAGTTTGCCTTCAAACAGAAAACCATTTGTTTCATCTGAAATATAAGTCTTTGTTTCATCTGAAATAGAAGTCTTTGGGTACGTTCTTTTCAAATATGGGAGGATCAATTTGCTATGGATCTCGCAATAATCTTTTTTTAGCCCTTTTCAAAGTCATCCTGAAGGAAGTCTCATGTTCCATTATTCTCCTCCTTGAAAGTGTTTTTGAATTAGATCCTTGATTAGTCATAAGAGCGTTAACCACCAGCTACTCTAAAAGCTTAAGCTGTTAGAAGAGAGGGTGTAACTATAATATTTAAATCCTTCAACAAAGAGCAATAACCAGCTCTTGTTTTATAGATTCGGTTATATGTCTGTTAAAGCCTGTCTTTCACCTGTCTTATTCTCATAATGAACAGAAGGATTTTTCTTATTCACTTCAGTGACACATTCATTCTTATGAAGCGAAGTAAAATTATCACCTCCCTCCCCTCAATATCTATATCTCATAGAATACTTTATTGATTTCATGGTTTCTATTATCTTTCATATTCAAAACTTCAATTTCATACCACTCTTGCTTTTGTTTTTAAATTTTGTGTTCTATGCGATAAAGTAATAGCAATAAACACAGGAACTAAAATATACTAAAAATGACTTCAGTAGAGGACGGGAAACCTCTACACAGGGCGATAGCTTGTTTTTCTGTCCTTAATCTTTGTTTTATCACCCTTTTCCATAGTTTCTTTGTATGACGCATTAATTTAATTCTCTATAATTGTTGCAATTTTGTATATCCCCTTTGTTTTGTAAAATACTAATATCGTCCTTTTCCAAAGTTTCGTTGTTCCTTAAATAGGGCAATAGCTTGTTTTTCCATCCTTAATCTTTGTTCTATCATGCTTTTCCATAATCCATAGTTTCATTGTATGGCACATTATTTTTTTTTTTTTGGATAAGTGTATGGCACATTAATTTAATTCTTGATAATTGTTATAATTTTGTATATCCCCATTGTTCGTGTAAACTATTGTGCTCTTTCTCCACTCTTTCGGCATAGTTCCTTTTTAAAAACTTTGTTAAAAATTCATTTCCTACCTTTCCTAACATTCTCCATGCCTCCATAGGCATGTTATTTGGGCCAACCGCTTTATTCTTCTCCATCTTTTTAAGTGTGTCATCTACTTCCTTCTTGTTGATTTTATTCATCAATCCTTCATTAATTTCATTACTTTTCACTCCTCTAGAATATTCCTCATTTTAGATGGTGCTGAAAATAAATTTTCCATCTAACTAATATGTCATTATCCTTAACTAATATGTTTATCTCTAGGGGTTGTAAACGAAACAAGCTTTTGACAAACAACTCGAACTCGGCTCCTAAGAGCTTAGTTCGAGTTCATTTGTTTAACAAACGAACCAAGCTCAAAAGAAAATTTTTAAGCTCGATTAACAAACAAACCAAGCTCAAACACCTCCATGTTAGGCTCGTTCATACATATATATACATATATATATATATATATGATGGATGTATAATTTAAATACCCGCGGATAGGGGAAGATTGTTAAATTAACGCACTATCTCATAAGATTGAGATAAACTCTACAGATTACGATAAAGATTAAGCCTACAGATTACGATAAGGATTAAGCCTACGGTAAGTCTACGATACATCCTAACCTAAGCCCTATAAAGAAAGGAGCTAATCGACGTTTTAAGATGCAATAGATCCCAACTCAATTTCTTGATTTCTCCAGAGAGATTACTTTATACACTGACTTGTTCATCGGAGCCTACTCCACCGATAACACACCGGTGCCTGTAGCATCACCTTTTCTTCTATTTGTTCAGGAACTCAGATCAGATCTGAGTTGCGCGGATCTACGATGCATCCTGACCTAAGCCCTATAAAGAAAGGAGCTAATCGACGTTTTATGGTATGCAATAGATCCCAACTCAATTTCTTGATTTCTCCAGAGAGATTACTTTGTACACTGACTTGTTCGTCGGAGGCTACTCCACCGGTAACACACCGGTGCCTGTAGGATCACCTTTTCTTCTCTTTGTTCAGGAACTCAGATCAGATCCGAGTTGCGCGGAATCCTGCATCAACAGTTGGCGCCGTCTGTGGGAAACGATTTTAGTTCTCTAAATAAAGCATGGTTCAATTGCGATCTGGTCTGGCTGCTGGCGAGGACGAAGCGTTGCAGACTTCTGATCAAGGAGACTCGACGAGGCAACCCCCCGTCATCCCAAACGATCAGGAACGCGTCGCAGTGCTGAAACAACAGGTTCAAACCTTAAATGAGGGAATGAACCAATTAGTCCTAGCAAAATGCGATGATTCTGCAATGCTTAGCCGCCCCCAATGAGGTGGAGAACAGTGAAGTACCCAACAATGACTCCCGTAGGATTGACAACGACGTTGAGCTTAGTCAAATAGGGGGTCAACACAGAAGCCATCACCATCGGTCTCCCGAACGGAATACCGCCAGGCTCCGTGGAGATACCTCCGTGGAGATACCTCTGGTTGTGTTGGCGACAAGACTGAGGACGTCACTCATTTCGATCTACAGATGCAAGATCTGAGAACTGGTCGAAAACGTCATGCAAGCGATGAAAGGGAAGGGCTAGGCCGCAGCGAACGATCTAGTGCAGAAGACCACCCTAGCATTTAGCCTAGTTGTTATGAGTTGTCCTCTACCTAGCAAATTCAAGATGCCAACTCTTGAGAGCTTCGATTGGACGCGGGACCCTCTCGATCATTTGGAGACCTACAAAGCTTTTATGTATTTGCAAGCCATACCGGACGAGATTATGTGCAGGGCTTTCCCTACCACACAAAAGAGTTGGGCTCGTCTCTGGTTCAATAAATTAAAGCCAGGCTCCATTGAAAACTTTAATGAGTTGAGCAAACAATTCATAGGACATTTCATCGTTGGGCAGAGGCATAGGAGACAAGCAACACACTTATTGAATGTGGAACAACAGAAGGGAGAGCCTCTTCGTGATTACATAAGTCGTTTTAACACTGAAATGCTACAGGTAGAAGAGGTGGACGACAAGGTTGCCCTCACAGCTTTTATGGGAGGACTACAGACCTCTAAGTTCCTATTCTCCTTGTCAAAAGAAGCCCCTACGAGCATGGCAGAGTTAATGGTTAGAGCACGGAAGCACATGAACTCTGAGGATGCTATGAATGCACGAAAAAACAAAGATGGTGAAGATAAGAGGTCGGATAAAAATAAGCCAGCACCTAACACTAGGGAGGAAAAGGAATCGAAGTACAAGAAATTCATAGGCAGCCAGGCTGACAGATTGTCTCGCCGTCCAGCGAGCCCAAGCAGAACGAAAGGGAGTTGGAATCAAGCTTGGACCTGATCGAAGAAAGGAGAGACCAAGCCCAGATTAGGATGGCTGCCTATCAATAGAAGGTCTCCAAGTATTACAATGCTCGGGTCAAGCCTAGGAGGTTCTCA